GCCCTGACCTTGCTGGCAGAGCCCCACCTTGCAACCTAACAGCTTTCCCAGTTGCATTTTCAAATTTTGGGAGACTAGTGGCTCTTTTTTCTCTTTCGTTTTCTCCTGTTTGAATGGGAATACTGTTGATCCTGGAACAATAAGGGTTTAAACTACACAGGTGCACTTATAAACAGAATTGGGGATTTTGCTATTTTTTCTAAAAATATATATGGGTGTAAAACACAGTATTCTGGGATGCAAAACCCACATATACGAATAGCCAAGTTTTTAATTATGTGGGTTCCACATGGCCAAACTCGGGGCTTGAGTAGGCAAGGACTTCAGCATATGGGGGCCCTGGAACCAATGTCCCCCACACACAGGGACAGTGGTATTTATAAATTGTATCTTAAGCTATACAGTATTATATTTTGGGAGAAAATCATTTGTTTTCCCAGATAAATCATATTGAGGATCTCACTGAAGCTGACTTAAATGATTTAGATGATGAGCTCTGGGACTTTTCTTCTGATAAGATTGAGGTAATACCTTAGACTTTGGACTGACGCTATAATGGATTGAGACTTTGGAGTACGGAGGGGGTGAATGTATTTTGCACATGGAATTAAATGAATGTTTGGGGACCACAGGAAGATTTGTGGGCTAATAGCTCTGCAAACGCATCCATACCCTTACCCCAGAGCCCATATACTTGTAGCCTTACATGCAAAAGGGACTTTTTAGGTGTGATTGTATGACGTCTCTTGAGATGGGGAGATTATCCCACATAATCCAATGTAACCACAAAGGTCCTTATAAGAGGGAATCCGGATGGTTGGAGATGGGGATAAAGAGCAGAAGGAAAGGTTGCATCACCTGGGCCCACGTGCCAGGTGAGCAGACATTGCAGCCACCTGGGGCCATGGCCAAGGAGGTGAGCAGACATTGCAGCCACCTGAGGTCATGGCCAAGGAGGTGAGCAATCCAGGGGCTGGAAAAGGCAAGAAAATGGGTGGTTCCCCAGGACTCCAGACGGAGACAGCCCTGCGAACACCTTGATCTTGGCTCCCTGAGACTGATCTTGGACGTCTGTGCTCTAGAATTATACAAGAATAAATTGGTGCTGTGGCAACAGACATCAGGAACAAACTCTGGAGCCAGTATGACCATGAGGCACCTGTGCCTGCTGCTCTCTGAGAGTTCTCGTGTCTGACCCCGGGGTCTGTGTCTCCTGACAGTATCCCTAAGACGGAGGGAAGCTAACTGCTGACTTGGAAGATGGACAAAACCTTAGATCCTTCACAGTTCTTGACATCTGACTCAAAGAAATGATGAGATGAGTATTCTGCCAGCTTTTAAATATCTTTCAGTCTTCTAAGTGTACTTCTAAATAAGATCATTCACATAGCTGAACTTTAGTAAGAAATAGCCCATCATTCATATTTTGTTAAGTAAATTATGAATAACACCCCAAATCAACATTCCTTACTGCTTTCTCTCTTGCACAAAAATCTCATGAAAGTATCTATTTGCAAAAATGTGTTAAAGAAGTTTAATTACAAGAAATCATCCATTCTTTGTTCTACTTACTGTATTTATTGTTAGAGTCTTTTTTTCTTTTTTTGAGACAGTCTCACTATGTTGCCCTCAATAGAGTGCTATAATGTCACAGCTCACAGCAACCTCAAACTCTTGGGATCAAGTGATCCTCTTGCCTCATCCTCCCAAGTAGCTGAGATTACAGGTGCCTGCCACAACATCCGGCTATTTTTAGAGACAGGGTCTTGCTCTTGCTCAGGCTGGTCTCCAACCTGTGAGCTCAGGCAATCCACCCTCTTCGGCCTCCTAAGTGCTGATATTACAGGCATGAGCCACTGCACCTGGCCTACTGTTAGAGTCTTAAAGAATAATATTTTCCTTCACATACATATGGAAAAGGAATTTCTTTCAGTTGGATAAATTCCTAAATGAACTTTCACGAGTGACTCAGATCTCTAAGATCCCAAGCTGACAGAACCAGCACTACCCACTCCAGGAGTTAAGAAGCATCACAAACACGGCACAACTGTATAGGAAATGAAAATTCAGACATGTGGGAACAAAGCCAGAGAGCACTGCTGAGCGGCCAATGCATTTATTTCACAGGTTAAGCAAGACAGTGGTGAGCACATTTGTAATAAAATGCCACCCGGAGAGGGGCAGCTGGCCATGCATGCCCTGACCACCCTGAGTATCTGTTAGTGGG